GCCAGGGATGCAAAGTGGTTTCCACGGGAGGCCGAAGCTGGATGTGAATGACGGCTACCTGGGGAGGCGGGTTAAGCAAGATTCTGAGGCCTCACAGGAGTTCAGTGACCGGTTTGTTATACCTGCAGGAGTTGGATTGTGTGGCCCAGAGTTGTCATTTCATGGGACATGTCCAACTTGTTGGTCTCAGCAAGGGACAAAACAGGCAAGCACTTCTGGTCAGGTCAGAACAAAGCAGACGTAACAAGGAGGCTTCAAAGAGCACGTGGTACTTAAAGCCAACCTGTTCGCTGGGCTTAATGGGGAACGGGGACCCCGTCCTCATTTCCGACTGTGGCTTGTGGTTGAGGAGATGCCAAGTCCCCATCACTCCAGTACACTGTCCTGCTAGACAAAGGAGCTCCCACAGGGCGGGGGAGCTGCATGCCCAGGGAGCAGCACCCCTCGATGGACTGGAGCTTCTGCATGTGGGAATCCTGCTCTTTCGACATCTGCGCTAGAGGCAGGAGACCAGCCATTGTCATTGGCAGCCTGGCACTTCACCTTGGCCTAGCCACTTACTAGCTATGTGGCCTGCCGCCAACCACACGACCTCTCTGTGCCTCGGTTTCCCCACCTACCAAAGGCAACAATGCTTGGCTCACGGGGCTGTCGTGAGAGATAAATGAGATGACGATGAGATGATCATTTTGCATATAATCGGGTGTATAGTTAAAGGCCAATTCATTGCAGGCGTTGTTATCTGAGTGCTTTCAAGCAGGCATTAAAGCGAAGAGAAGGCCGGGCGCGGTGGCTGACGCCTGTAATCCTAGCACTCTGGGAGGCTGAGGCGGGCAGATCGTTTGAGCTCAGGAGTTCGAAACCAGCCTGAGCAAGAGCGAGACCTCGTCTCTACCAAAAATAGAAAATAAATTAATCGGCCAACTAAAAATATATAGAAAAAATTAGCCGGGCATGGTGGCGCATGGCTGTAGTCCCAGCTACTCGGGAGGCTGAGGCAGAAGGATTGCTGGAGCCCAGGAGTGTGAGGTTGCTGTGAGCTAGGTTGACGCCATGGCACTCACTCTAGCCCAGGCAAAAGAGTGAGACTCTGTCTCAAAAAAAAAAGCAAAGAGAAAAAGGGGAAAAAATCCCACCTGTTGTCCGTGTGAAAGGAAGAAATACCTAACACAGTTTGGGCAGCTTTGTAGCTCTCACATCTTTCATTATTTCAAGCAACAAGTTTTCACGTGATAGATGCTAATGGGGAGTACAAATGTCAATTTCCAAGTTTTACAATTTTGGGCAGGATTAAGAGAAAATTACAAGTTACAGTCTAGACACTCCCTGGTGTTGTCACTCTGTTATTCAGGTCTCTTGGCCACATTTCCATGTTCTCATAATGGAGTGGTGACCACTTATATCTAATGAATCCGCAGGGTCTCCTCTGGGGGCAGACAGAGCATGACTCCCGAGGCTGATGTTTCGTGTCCGGTAAGGAAATACCTGCAACGAGTATTTGTCACCGTGCATGGCTGCACGGTGTCGCTTCTGAGAGCCACGATAAATGAATCCTCCCAACAGCCAGCCAAAGCCAGTAAGGGGTGTTTAACAGATCAGAAAGACCTGAGTTCAAGCTGCAAGGGTGTGGACGAACCCTGCCGGGAGAGGCTGCTGCCGTTTTGGAGGGTGGCTGAGCCGCAGTAGGGGAAGCCCAAGAAATGCACACAGGGCGAGGGTGGTGGCTTCTGACGTATGTAGTGGACAAAAGTGATCTGGAAGGAGCAGAGCCCTGGGTGGGTGCCGTGAGGGGAAGGTGCGGGTGCGTATGAGGATGTCTGCACGTGCGAGCGGCACCATGCAGCTGTGTGGAGGAACATAGGTCACATGAGAAATCCTGCGGCCATCGCTCCAGTCTCCTTCCCCGGGTCGCCAGGTGCTCATGGCCCCCGGTGGTGGAGGGGCGAGCGGGAGCTGCAGGACCCACAGGCTGGCAGACGGTGAGGGCCGGGGCCTGGACAATGCACAAGCCGCATGTCCTTGAACGCGGCGATCCGCCGGGTGTGGGGGTCTGTTGGGAGTGAGTCAGGGGAGGGGAGGGCCAGACTGTCCACGAGACCCTTTTTCCTATGCTGGATTTCTGCTCAGAGCCACAGCAGATAGAATATTCCACAGCTTTGCTGAGCGAAGGCGCACCCCTGTCCCGAAGGCAGCAGGCCTGAAGAGGGCGCCGCGGGGGGCTCGGCACTCACCATAGAGCTTCTCCCTCTTTTTGCCCTGCGAGGTCTGCAGCTTGATCTCCCCCCGGAAGTGGCCGGTCATCTCTCCATGGTGGGTGAGCGGCGTGTGGATGGGCAGCTGGGTCTCTGTGGCTTCCAGCCGGAGGGCAATGCAGCCCTCGCCTGGGGGAGGGGGACAGCGAGTGAGGGCCCTGCCACCTCACAGGAGAGGCCTGAGAGTCACTCTAACCCCAGTCCCCGCCCCGGGATGGTCCTTCGAAACTGAAACCGTGGCTCAGGTGACAGTTATTCAATAAACCCTTCAGAACAAGGCCTCAGCAATTTGGGGCCAATGTCTCAAACCTAATAGCATGATGAACTCCATGTGGATTCGTCAATGTAGAAAATAAATTATATCATAGAAAACTGAGCAGATATTATTAAACACTAATCTGATTCCTGTAGGGATGATAACGTCCCAAGGTTTGAAGCAATGCAGTAAATGACAGGCTGGGCATGGTGGCTCACGCCTGTAATCCTAGCACTCTGGGAGACCAAGGTGGGAGGATTGCTTGAGCTCAGGAGTTTGAGATCAGCCTGAGCAAGAGTGAGACCCCATCTCTATTAAAAAATAGAAAAAAAAATTAGCCTGGCAACTAAACATAGAAAAAATTAGCCAGGCATGGTGGCACATGCCTGTAGTCCCAGCTACTCAGGAGGCTGATGCAGGAGGGTCACTTGAGCCCAGGAGTTTGAGGTTGCTGTGAGCTAGGCTGACACCACGGCACTCTAGCCCAGGTGACACAGCAAGACTCTGTCTCAAAAAAAAAGGAAATGACAAAATAAGACCAGAAATGAGGATATATAAGCTTAAAATTTCTGCACAAAGAAAAAACTAAAACAAAAAAGAAACTGAGTGGAACAGCAGCTGCAGCCAGCGTCACAGGCAAGGGTTTTTTTTTTTTTTACCTGAACTGCACGAGGAACTTCTCAAAATCAAATCCCAAGGAGATAAACGGGCAGATAGCACAAACAGACATTTCGCACAGAAAGAACCATAGCTGGCTAATTTCAATAAATGGAAAATAGTCCGGCCTTCCTAACCATCAAAATTGCAAACTAGGGAAGCACCAAGGTGCTCTTTCACAGAATGAAATCAGTACGAACCAGGCGGGAGAAAAATAACCCCCATGCCAGCAAGGATCTGGGGAAACCTGTACGTGTCACGGTCAACTGAGGCAACCTGTACGGCAATCAGTTTGCTGCTAAATGCCATGTACACCACAAACATATCGATACCCCCCAACCCTGCAAACGTGTCCTACAGAGATGATCCAGAGGAATGCAAAATGTAGCTGAAGAGTGGAAACTGTCCACAAAGAGGTGCATCTTGGTGTTACTGAGAGCACCAACAAAGTAGCCGGCAGAGGCTCTACAGTAGCAGTAAGGGACGCTTTTAAAAATGAGGAGACAGTAAACCCATGGAATACTGGGCAGCCATTAAAAGGAACAATGAGAAGACAGTGTGGGTGTGATACCAGGTGAGGAAAGCAGAACATGCAATGGTATCTCTATGACGGTAAGTGTGAAATCCACGTGTGCCTGTGTGTGAGGACAGACGGGTAAAACCACGATGAAAATGATTGCTGCATCGGAGAAGACTGTCCGTGACTCCTTTTCATCATTGTGACATGCTGTCGTGAGTATGAACAGCACGGGGGAGAAACAAGGGAGGAATATGGTCCTCAAATGAGAAAATGCAAGCTCGCTCCGTGTACTGCCTGCTTCCTGCCACAGAGCTCCGGACATCCCGCTATCCGCGTGGATCCTCCTGCTCCTGCAGCCAGGGACTTCCGGGGCTCTGCCACCTCTGCCCTGGCTGGGGACCTTCTTATCAGTGCTGCCCTGGGAGGGGGTGAGGGTGAGGATTCTGGAGCCGGGCTGCCTGGGCTCAAGTCCAAGGCCACACAGTTACCTTCGACGAGCCACCCAGTAGCCGTGTGGCCTTGGACAGGTCTCTTCAGGTCTCCCAGACTCCTTTCCTCACCTCTCCAACGAGGGGAGTGACAGCACCTACACCCAGGTGTGGGCAGAGCCTGCACGGGGGGTGCCACGCACAGGTGACCCCGTGTCTACAGCCTCTTTCTCTCCCCTGGCTTCCACCAAAGGGCACATGCAAAGCTCTTCCACTTAAAACCAACAAGCGCACAAACACCTCCCCCTGCCCTAGCTCGCATCCTCCTCTGGCTCCTCACCCCCACCCCTCCCCAGCCTGACTACCCGACCCTCGCCCACCACGGATACCCCTGAGTCACTCTGCCTAAGGGACACTGCTCAGTCTTTGTTTTGTTGTATCTCTTGGGACCACACCCTCCTCTTGATCCGACCCTCCTCTGATGGTGTCCCCAGCACCACAGCCTGTGGTTTTCCTCCTACTCTGGCTGTGCCTTCCCGGCCTCCTTTGCCTGCGGCGCTCCAGCTGCCCCAGCAGGAAATGGAAACATCATTAACCGAGTGGCTCGAACCACAAGTTCAGGGTCATCCTTGACACCCCACTTCCCCACACCCACGCCCTAACAATTTCTGTACTCCGCATCTCTCGATTCTATCCTGTTCTCTCCCTTTTTACTGTCACTACTTTCATTCTGGCTCCCTCCCTCTCCTCTCCATCACGGCAAGCACAGATTTCCAAGATGTGACTCTGAACCTGTTACTGTCTTGCCTGAATCTTCAATGGCTCCCTACGGCCCTGGGGATAAGGTGTTTACCCTAAGCTTGGCTTGTTAGGAGCTGCCTCCAGCCCCCCTCCAGCCCTCTGCCCCTCGCCCTGTGCTCCAGCCACACTGCATGTACGAGTGCAAGGTTGAACCCGACTTTGGGCTACAGCCACCGATGGGCTGAAGACGGTACAACGACCTCTGGTCTCTCTGATGGGACAGTGGGTGGGGCTGCAGGCTCCACGAGCCTGCCCAGGCCGGGCACCGAGCAATGCTGAGCAAAAGACCAGAGAGCACGGGGCAGATGGTTCCAGCACCCCCAGCCCACACAGGGGACCCACCACACTCCAGCCCAAATCCCTCTGGCCGGGGGAGATGGTCCTCACGCAGAGGGCGTTTGTTGGGGGATGGAAGCAGTGGCCCGTTTGTGCCTGAGCGGGTGTTCTAGAGACTTGCCCAGCATGGAGGGGGCCTGCAGCTGAGACCTGAGGAGGGCAGCTGGGGACACATGACAGCAGAGCAGTGAAGGCAGATCTGGGTTCAAATTAGGGCTCAGCCAGTTACTACCTGGGCAACTTGGCAAGTCACTTGGCCTCTCTGAGGCTCCATTTACTCATCTGTTAATTTGGAGAATAGTCCCTGCTTTGTAAGGTCTTGCCAGGATTACATCAAGTAACACAGCAAAGCGCCTGGCGCAGACCTGACACGCAGGAAAGGCTCAACCAATGGGGGCTGCCGGTGGTTCTGCCCAGAAGCCCGATGGGGCGGGAAGGATGACCTGCTGGTAACAGTCCCTCCAGGAGCCCTGGGATGAGGAAAGGGGTGGCAGGTGGGCTTTCCCGGAAGGAGGTGCCACCCCACGCTCACAGCAGAGGCGGTACCCATCCTGGGACACCTACCGTAGGATTCATCGCTGTCAGAGGACTTAATGCTAATTAGGATGTGCTGGTCCAGCAGGTACTCAGGGTCTGAGATGATGGGCTTCAGCTGCAGAGAGAAGGCACAGGGTCAGAGTTGACAGGTGGGGGGCCGGTGGATGAGGGTCACCAGCCAGATGTGGGGAATGCATGAGAAAGCAGGACAGGTGTTCTCATCAACCAGATTCATGTCCGTGCTCTCCATGCCCAAGCGAACAGGAAGGAACCCACGTGCACCCCACAGCCAGCACGGCAGGGCCAACTTTCTTCCCTGCCCCCAACACCACAGTGTGCCCCAGGCCTCCTAAGCTGGGCTGTGCTCCCAGGTCCTAGGGAGAGAGCCTGACCCCAAAAGAGCCCCAGTCCATCGCCTCCCCTCCCTTCCTTTGCAGATGCCAGGGTCCCAGGGGAGGAGGCAGGCTGGACGCCCCTGCACCCCGCTCTGCCCCAGCTTCCACCCAGCACACAGGCCTGCCCCCGCCTGGGGAGGATGCGGCCGCTGTGCCGGCAGTGTCCTGTTAGGCCTGTGGCTCGGTGAATGACAGACACAGACTCCCCGCAGTCCAGCTCTGTCCCCCACCTCCTGCTGCCAGCAATTTTCAGAGCCAGGGCCTGCCTGTGCCGGGTGACCTCAGACCTCGCCAGTGCAGGGCCGGGCCCCTGCGCACCGGGAGGAGCGTTACAGACACGCCAGCTCCCTGTGCCGGACACAGTTCATGACTTTCCCACAAAGTAGGGCTGCTCCTCACGGAGACCGCAACACACAAGGGCTGGATAAAAAGGTCGCATGCTGCTGTGCTAGGCTGTCCCCTTCCTTCCCCTCCAGATACCGAAAGGCTCCCAGTGCAGGGCTCTGGGCATCATGCTGACCAATGGGATGGACTTGCTATGTCTCCATTCAGAAAGTTCCAGAACAATGACTAGAAATCGTGGTGAGGACTCTGGGGCTCCACAGCCACAGTGACCACTGGGCTCACTGACATGTGGTGGCATCTGGCTCTAAGTTAGACCCAGGGCAGGGTGGGGCAGGGCTGCGGATGCAGGAAGACCCGTCCTCCCGGGATGCATTGGGGAGTGGGGCATCAGACACCTGAACACCACATGTCTCTGGAGGACACACTGCCACGGTGGGGACTACCTGGGCACCGCAGCAGGGATTCAGGGGTGAAGAGGGGAGACCATCGGTGACAGGGGCAGGATTGGGGGGTCAGGGAGCAGAAGGTGCTGTGGGAACACGGGTGAGGCTGGAGAGGGAGGGGCTCGTTCCACTTGGCACCAGGGAGTCGACTGGACAAGAGGAGATGCTGGGATCAGATGGGCATTCCAGAAAGATCCATCAGGCTTCAGGATGCCTCGGCAAGAAGACAGGAGGGGAGAAGCCTCCTGGAAGGGGGTGGTGGGACAGAGGGGACAGGGGCAGGAGGAACGGCAGTGGGGATGGTGACAGGACGTGGGAGTGGAGGAAGACAGGATGCCCGGGGGTCCCTGAGGGGGACAGGGATGCTGGTATGTTCTCCAGCTTCACCAAGGGAGGAAATGATTGCTCGGGTTCTGTGAGGAAGTGGCTGGGAGAGGAGCAGGGGCAGGAGGGCGTGGGCTGGGTGAGGCAGAAACGCCTCCTTGAATCCCGGAGCCCCCAGGACGCAGGGGCCTGAAGACAGCCCCAGGACAGGGACTCCTGACAGCTGTCCCGGGTCTCAGCAAAGACCCCAGTCAGAGCCATCTGAAGAGGCCGGGGCCTCTAGGCAGTTTGGGATCACACCGTATCAGCCTGTGTTCCTGAGATAACACAGCCTTTCTATGTGGCCCAAGAGCTCGTTCCAATCAACGGTTGATGCCAGCCTGGGTAGCCTGGCCCCTGCAATGCCTGCGCCCACCCCAGCCTCGGGAGAGGATGGGTCCCTCCACCCGTTTAAGCCTCTGAGGGCACCTTCCAGGGGAGGCCCCACGACCCCTCCCTCCTGTGAGGGATCTTCCCAGCCCTGACTCCCCTCGTCACACCCTCCCTCGTGGTGTGAGAAAGACGGCGTCCTGCTGCTTTGAGCCCAGCACGAACACCTGGAGCACCTGATGGACTCGCACCCAGTGACAGCCACAGCTGCACTGTGGATTCAGCACCACAAAAACAGTTTTGGCAGAAAACCACTTTTCTGCAATAAAGACGAGTGTGTCCCTCTAAGGTCTGCTGCATGTTTTCGATTCCACCCCAGCTCGTACAGGGCCACGGACGGTCAAGTACTTCCTCCGCTCACAGTGCGCGGTTAGGAGCCAATGGACTCCTGTCTGTGACCCTACGAGCCAGTGCTGAATAGGTGAACAGCACCGAAGGGGAACCGGGGTCTTGGGGACTGTGTCCTAGGTCTGTCACTGCAGCCACACGACTGTGAACAAACAGCTCTCAGCTCTGCTCCTCCGGCTCCTTCCCCAAAACCACGTGGTTAGACGAGTCGACCTCCAGATGCCTTCCTGATCCATTAGGGGAACTGGGACCATTTAGGAATATTGGGGCCACTCACACCACTGCTGAAAAGCGTGTTTTAAACCACCTTGAACGAGAGTTCGCTCGCAGGGCGGGCAGGTGGGAGGACGGCGGCCTCTTCCACGTTGGGTCTGTGGGATTCCCGCTCCCTCTGGCCAGGCCCAGCCGTAGCTCTGCCACCGCCGGTTCCACTGGCCTGGGGAGTGAACATCCTCCCCGCGGAACGTCTTGCTCTCGAATTACCTTTGGAAGGGTCTCGCCAAACTTCACCACCAGCTCCCCCTCACTTCCTTCTTCATTCTCTCCTTCCTGACTCTTGACAAAACCTGTTGGAGGACAAGAAGTCTGGTTTTCAGAAAACAGAGCAAGAGCCAGACGGAAGAGACTCCTGGGGCAGGAAGAGGCTCTCCCTCCTTTCCTTCTTCCGGGGTCTCAGCGTAATTTCGGAGGCAGGCTTGCTGGGAATTCTGTTTTTGTGCAGGGGATGGTCATTTGCCAACACGGTCTAATTATTTTTAGGAAAAATCAAAGAGATTCCTCCTCCTTTTCGGTTCCTCTTTGCAACAAACCAGGCAACAAAGAAATCATCACATCACAGGCAAGAAGATTAGGAAACATGACAGCTCATCCCACGCCACTCAAGATAGCAGCCTTTTGAAATTCTAATTTAAGCTTCCTAATATGCTGTTTCCATAGAAATGTGTGCAAGTGTCTCGATAGTTTATTAAAAACACCCGCACAAAAATCCTCATCCTTTCTGGAACTGCTTTGACCCTGTTTGGAGAACAGGGGCTTGGGGCCTCAGCGGCAGAGGCTGCTCTGTCACCAGGCCTGGGCTGGGCCCAGTCAGAGAAGGAAGGGGCCCAGAGGGCAGAGTGGTAGCTGGTGGCACACGTCTTCTTCCTGATTTCCGGAAGCATCCCAGCCATGCCCTCGCAGAATGCGTCCTTTTGTGGCGTTAACACCCCCCACCCATTCTCCAGCCCCTCTCAGTGAGGAGAGCTAGATGCCGCACAGATCTTCCCTTGCCACAGAACAGCTTTAGACAATATGCCTAGAAATGTCACGCAGAAAGGGTGTTTCCTAAACACAGGAGGTGTGTGCTACATGCTGCTGGCTCGGAGGAGGCTGTCCATCCCCAGCCTGTTTTCAGCTGCTGTGGACGCCCTGAGAAAGATGCCTTGATCTCGAAAGAGCAGGACGCGGGAGCCAGGGCGACCAGGGGCGGAGGGCAGCCGGCTCCGTAAGCTCTGGGACTTTGCCCAGCACTCTCTGGTAGAGTCAGAGCCCCGGCTGGGGGAAAGCGAGGGGTTACAGCCTGCCCTGAGCAGGCAGGGATGGGAGCCCACTGCCCACGAGGGACTGAGGGGTCTGTACGTCGTGGGTGTCCCTGCTCCCAGGGCTGGGGCAGCAGCACTGCAGGCCACAAGGAGACCCCCTCCCAGTAACTGGGGTCCCCTCGGACCCTCCACCTGCAGCCCTGCTCTGACCCCTCGGAGCCCATCCGAGAGTCCTTCCCAGGGAGAGGAGAAATGGGGCAAAGTACCGCTCACAGAAAGGCATTTACGAGAACGAGCTGCAGCCTGCCCCACCAAAAGGTACTTCAGCAGCCACTCACTCTCCAAGCAGCTCGAGTGGAACTCCAGGTAGAATTTGGTCTGGGACTTGGTCTTCAGTGTGGCGTAGCACCTGAGAAACTCGATCTGCCCTTGGCTGTCCACAGTCCCGGGACCTGCAACAGGCAGAGCGGGGAGTCAGTCGCTCCGTGTGCTCGGAGACGGAGCGTTTCAAATCAGCCTCTCCCCCAAGGCTTCCTTCCCCTGGCTTCTCACTCCACGCAGGGCCCAAGGAAGGAGGGAGTCCAGTGGAAGGAAACATTTTCCTTGACATAAAGCTACGTCCAAATCCACCGCCCACGCTGAGCATCCCCGACCGTGGTGGCGGCCTTGCTGATGCACCCGAGCTGCCGCGGAAGCAGAGCAGAAAGAGCGAAGGGTTCAAGGAGCAAAGACGTCTCGGCCTTGTCTCTGAAGCTGCGTGGCTTCCGGGAACACCCTTAACCTCGCTACCGCAGTCTCCCCACTAGTTCCGGCAAAGAGTCTGCAGAAAGGCTCAGTCGCTCAGTGTCCACGTCTATTCAGGTTCCACGTCCAGCCAGTGCGGAAAGCCTGCGCTGTCTTCCTTAGGCTCAGCGGTCTCGCTCCTTACCCTGGGCTCCGTAAGCTCATTTGTATTCAATTAACTCGCTTATAACTATTAATTTGGACGACGCTTTTGCAAGCATCTTTCACCTGGTTTTAATCAAGTGTTCTGTCCTTCCATACAAATGCCGAGCCACCTGAGAGCAAGACCAAATGTTCCCCTCCTCCATCACCCCCTTCCTCCCTTCCTTCCTGTCTTTCTAAACCCCACAGCACTAGGCCAGGCTCTGTGTACGTCGATGGGCAATCAACGTTCAATTCAGGTAATCAGGATTTCAGAGCATCTGCCATGTACGGAGTCCTGGTGGCGGGGAGCCTGGTGCCGCGGGTGCGCTACCCACTAACAAGGAGAGGGCAGCGGCAACCCCAGCGACGCTGCAGGAACTCGGGCAGAGGGAAGACGGTGGAAGCCGGGGAAGAGGAGAGACCTAAAGGCTAGGAAGGTCATGGAAAGGCACAGCGGCCAGAGCTAGGAAGGAGACAGGCTGGTGGAGGAAGACTGGGATGGAGACGAGAAGTCACTCTGGGGCCATGGATGTTCGACCCAAAAGTGTGGAGAAAAGCCTCCCAGGAAGACAGTGTTCAGCCTCACCGACCCCCTCACGGCATGAAGGACACAGAGCAGGATGGTCTTTCCCAACCTATATGTGGCCCCCACTCTCAGCTTCCTAAATGAGCCCGGATTGTCTGCCGACCACGGAAGTGGGGAGCGGGCAGAGCAGATGACAGCATGGCCCCTGGTCACCCAGGCCAAGGGCTGGATGGGCACACTGCAGAGAATGCCTGGCCTCTGCTGGGATGAGGGTAGCCAGGGCTGAGCTGGATTATTCGAAAGATTACCTGCAAATCTAAGTATTATTTACACCAGTGTTTCCTAAAACTCAGTCATCTGCATCCCACCTTCACAATTCTTACTGTCTCTGCCCACCACGCACCTGCACTACTATTTACTTAATATTTTCCCTAAATAGACTTACTTTTTAAGTTTAAATGTGATTAAATAAAGTATGCCACAATACTAAATGGAAAATCAATGTTGCTTGCTTTACATAGAAGAGACAAATTTAAAATATATTAAATGCATCACTAACAAATATGTACCCATGTCCCCGCTGGGATCGTCTTTAGTGGTAGATAGGCCACACCTCAGTCAACATCGACTTACCCAACTTGTCAGACTGCGCTAAAACTGAGGCTCAGAAGGGTGACGTGTTTGCCAAGCAGAGCAAGTACATTCCCTGGACTGAAACTGTGACGTGGCTCGGACATGAAGAGCCCCGACCGATAGGCTGTGGACTTAGCTGGAAGGATGAGCCTTCGTCTAACGCAGACAACTAACTGCCGCAACCAGCAGAGAGATGAGTCCCCAGTGCCCCTTGTCTTTGAGGAACATAGAGAAAGGGACACTGCTTGTTGCTTACCATTCTTGGAGACAAACTGGGAAGTAACCCCTGCCTCAAACGTGGCAAACACAGGGCTGTGGTCACTCGTCATGATGTCGCTGGTACTTCCTGCAGGGGAGGGAAGGCATTTCTGAGCAGGGCAGGAGAAGCCCTTCTGGTGAAGCCAAGGGATGGCAATCCCAAGGCAGAAATAAACTTTCATTATGAATCCCCCAGAAATGTCACAGTTTTACACCTATTGTCCTTTAAGTGTTCAGCGAAAGACAGTGTGTACACTACCTTTTCCATAGGTAAAATAAACCTGTGCTAGCTTTCCTAAAGAGCCATGTGTTTTTTTTGTTTGTTTTTTTTTTGAGACAGTCTCACTCTTTCGCCCAGGCTGGAGTACAGTGGCATCATCATAGCTCACTGCAACCTCAAACTCCTGGGCTCAAGTGATCCTCCTGCCTCAGCCTCCCAAAGTGCTGATATTACAGGTCCGAGCCACTGCACCTGGCTGACTCATGAATTTTTAAATAGATTATGGCATGTGAACCATGGAGATTTTTATGCTCTAATCACTTTATTTTACTGATGAGGATCCCAAGTTGCAGAGTGGGATGAGGACTTACAGTCATTCAGCTCATCAGTGAGAGAGATAGGACACCTTCCCCACAGGACACCTTTCCCATCCCACAGTGCCTTGCAGGATCAGGAGTAGGTGATGAAGTATAGACACTGAGTGTAGACACATCTGTTAAAGAGCTTGGAGCTCAGATGAGAAGGGAAGGCACCAGAGTACATTTGCAGGGGAAGAGAAAAGGAATAGTTCTAGCAGACTGAGTTCTTTTGAGACAGCCAGTGGGAGATGTCTGGCAGGAACCTGGGCACTCAAAGCTGGAGATTTATCTTTAGATTTGGAGTCATGAAATTAGGTGCAAGGAGAAGCCATGAGGACATCTGGGCTTTTGCAGGGAAGATATGAAGGGTGAGAAGAGATGAGGATGAAATTCCAGGACACACCAACCATAAATGGGCAGGCAAAGGAAAAACTGCACAGGAGACCAAGAGGGTGATAAAGCAGATTTGACATTCTTTCCTATAAAGTTTTTACAGATTAGCAAGAAGAGATGAGCACCCCATTACTCAACCAACCAACATATGAACAGAAAATTCACCAAAGAAATACAGATGGCTAAGAAACATAAAAAATTTCCCTTGCTAAGGATCACCAGAAAGCCAAACTGAAACAATGAGATAGAATGGAGAAAGAGGTTGATGAGAAAGAAGAGAGTGGGGCCACTAGCTGTGGAGGAGGAGGAGATGGAGTTAAGCATCCAGGTGGAAAGGTTATCCAGGAAAGAAAGAGGATAACATTTCCTGGGAGGGCATCAGCCTAAAAGCTGTTTGGACACGAGCAGGAAGAAGTCAGAGAGGCCCAGTGCTGTGCAAAACAGGACAGGAAGGAGTTCAGGAGTTGGGTCAGCTGCAGGGCTACCAGTTCCTGGTGGCTACAGAGGAGAGAGTGGTCCAGGAAGAAGTTAAAACATCAATGAGCAGCTTTTTTTCAACGTTCTCAAAATATTTCAGATACGCATCAAACATAATAGCAATGGCACTACAATGTGCACTTAAACTTGGGAGGTAGACTGTTGGATGTGTGGCCCTCAATGAAACCACACCTCCCGGTAATCACACCCTCTGTGGCCTCCTACCATAGTGACTTTGGGCTTGGCCATGTGATTTCCTTTGGCCAATGAGACCTAGTAAATGTGAGGCAAACAGAGTCTTAAAAATATGAATAGTTTCCATAGGTGAGTCTTGCAGATAGAAACCCTAGACCAGGAAGTGAAGACACCTGCCCTAGCCTGCTGGAGGATGAGTTACCACTCTTCCCCCCATCCCCCTCCACCTACAGCCAGCCAGCCAACTCCAGATCCGAGTGGGCTCCCACCTGACCGTGCCCAGCCAACACCAAATAGAGCAGAGAGGAGCAGTCCAAATTCAGCCCAGCCCAGAGAATTGTGAGCAAATAAATGGTTGCTTTAAGCCACTAAGTTTTAGGGTAGTTTGTTATTCAGCAATAGATGAAAGGAATGGAAATCAGTTCAACATGTGAGACCAAAGTTAAATTTGTGGTTTGCCGGTCCCCAGAGAGAGTGGGAGCCAGGAAGGTGGCCACTGGGCAGCAGCAAGAGTCCCCCTGCCCCTCACTCTGAGGGAGGCTGGGGTCAGGGGTGCTCTGTTGGACAGGCCTGGGGTCATGAGCTGCCCATCTGGGGATACTAGCCTATGACTTATGTGAGGTGCACCTGGGGACCAGGACGACCCTCCTTTGGACACCACTGTCTGGGAATTTGAGATGTTGTAAAAATAATACCATGATTTTCAGCCCATAAAGTGCTGCAAATAATTCTGCCCAGTGAATTTTTAAGGTCTCACTTTGCAAAGTAATAGGAACTAATCAGTAGCTTTTAAGAATAAGCATTGAGGCAATTAAGAACTCCTTCAGCATACCTTAAACTTTGAGGGTCAACAGTTATTTCTTAATTGTTTATATAACTTATTCCATAATTATTTATTTTAATACTGTATATTATGTCTTTGTCATCAATTTAACTCAATTTATCTTTAAACCTCCCCAAATACATGTATGTACATTTATGATATGTATTAGGTTGAACCATATGACTTTCCAATAGTTGATCATTTTTGACAGATGAAAACACCACTTTCATATGGTTCCAATCTAATATGTTCTTTTCAAAAGAAATAAAACTGAATTTCTTTTTTAACAAGTGCGCCATAATACAAATGTCTCCCAAAGCAGGGGATATTTATTGTTGCAGCCCCACATGGGTGGGGACACACCAACTCTTTCAGGTCACCTGGTTAGGGCTGGGGGGAGTGCTCCCGTTTTATGGATGAACAGACAGAAGCCCTTTTTTTTTTTTTGAGACAGAGTCTCACTGTGTTGCCCGGGCTAGAGTGCCGTGGCGTCAGCCTAGCTCACAGCAACCTCAAACTCCTAGGCTCAAGCAATCCTTCTGCCTCAGCCTCCCGAGTAGCTGGGACTACAGGCATGCGCCACCATGCCCGGCTAGTTTTTTCTATGTATTTTTAGTTGTCCAATTAATTTCTTTCTAATTTTAGTAGAGATGGGGGTCTCGCTCTTGCTCAGGATGGTGTCGAACTCCTGAGCTCAAACAATCCGCCCGCCTTGGCCTCCCAGAGAGCTAGGATTACAGGCGTGAGCCACCGCGCCCGGCCCAGAAGCCCTTTCGTTGTAGGGCAGTCCTGGCTCCCAACGTGGTGCTGTTCTCCAAACCTGGTCTGCCTTCACCCAGTGTTTCAACTCACCATAGGACTGACACACCACGTGCACCAGGGGATACGACTTCCAGAGGACCCGGTCGCACCAGGAGGGCAAGTTGTACTTCATCTGCAAATCAAAGTCACAGGCTTTGTAAAATGCTTGCCGCTTATTTGTTAATCAGTAACAGAAAGCATTAACTGGTGGCCTCTGCAATCCCCGAATTCATCTGTGGCTGGCTCTTCGTAGAATCGCCCACAGGTGGCTTTAAACCCTTTTCATTGCTTCAATCCCAACTCCACTGCCGTGCCCCACACTTTCAGACATCCCGGACTCCTGCTTTAGACCAAGATCAATTCGCCTTGTGTTCCCTCACCTATCTTCCTGCCTACTTCAGTAGCTCTTGTATCTTCACGTTCAATTACTTTCTTTCTGACTCAGATGAACCCCTCTACCTGTATTTTCAACCCCAACTCTACTCGCCTTCTCCAGCTAACTTACTTTAATAACATACTCTAGCCAGCAGCCCCCCAACCTATTCATCCACCAGTCTACCTATTCATCTCCCCATCCACTCAACTACTCATTCGCCCATCCTTTCATCCACCCACCCAATCACACACTCATCCATCTACTTATCCATCCACCCATCCGATCAAACAATACCTTCTGCATGACAAGCCCCCTGCAGGGCCTCAGGCTGCAGCGGTGAGCAGGACATCCCTGGGGTGATAGATACGGTAAACTGGTAATGATAACCACCCCCTGAAAGCAATATTCTGACCCCCTCATGTTCTAGCTCTTTCTTCTCTATCTTCAAACATAAAGGTATTTACCTAAGAGCCTACCTCTGCCATATCCTTGATTACCTTCTCTTTTCTTCCTTTTACCAATTTTCTTCCAAAAATGCTCTATCGTCACTACCTCTACTTCTGAACCACTCACTGATATTTTTTTTAACTTGAGGTACAACTTACGTAAAGTCTGCTGAGCTTAAGTGTACAGACCGATGTTTGTTTACATTTGCTTACACCCATTTAACACTACCCAGAGCAAGATATAGAAAGTTCCCATCATCCCAAAAGGTTTCCTCCTGCCCCTTCCTTGCCAAAACTGCCACCTCCTAGAGGGGAACACTGCTGGGACTAACATCTCTGTTGATGTAAATGGACCCATTCAGTATATATTTTTTTGTGCCTGGCTCTTTCACCCATTTTGTTGAAACTTCTTTCATTTGTCACTGAAGTAGTTGGTGAACAAATGTACTAATCTCTCTTGAGTACACACTAAAGTGGAATTACTGAATCACAGGGTAGGTGCGTGTTTAGTATTCATGGATGCTGCCAAACAGTTTCTTTCTTTTTTTTTTTGAGACAGAGTCTCACTCTGTTGCCCAGGCTAGAGTGCCGTGGTGTCCTAGCTCACAGCAACCTCAAACTCCTGGGCTCAAGTGATCCTTCTGCCTCAGCCTCCTGAGTAGCTGGGACTACAGGCATGCGCCACCATGCCCGGCTAATTTTTTTTCTATATATTTTTAGCTGTCCAATTAATTTCTTTCTAGTTTTTGGTAGAGACGGGGTCTCGCTCTTGCTCAGGCTGGTCTTGAACTCCTGAGCTCAAACGATCCACCCGCCTCGGCCTTCCAGAGTGCTCGGATTACAGGCATGAGCCACCACGCCCGACCCAAACAGTTTCTTAACAGTGTAGTTCTCGGCGCCAGCTGCACCTGAGGACTGCCTGTGGCACTCTGTAAGCAGTCATGCGCCACAGGGATGGACTGCATAGAGGACGGTGGTCCTGTAAGACAATGAGGCTGAAAAATTCCTAACGCCTATTGGTGTCACAGCCATCATAATGTCACAGGACAGTGCATTACTCACGTGCTCATGGTGATGCTGTTGCAAACAAACCCACTGCACTGCCATGTAAAAGTCTGGCGCATACAGTTACTTACAGTATGTAATATTTGATAATGATAATAAATGACTTGCTCATTTATGTATTCACTATTTATCGTTATTTTAGAGTGTACTCCTTCTATTTATATTTTAAAGTTAACTGTACAACAGTCTCAGGCAGGTGCTTTAGGAGGTATCCGGAAGAAGGCATTGTTATCGCCGGGAATGACAGCTCCAGGCGTGTTATTGCCCCTAAAGACCTCTCAGTGGGACGAGATGTGCAGGTGGAAGGCAGTGATATTGACGATCTTCACCCCGTGTAGGCCTAGGCTAAACGTGCGTTTGTGACTTAGTTTTTAAAAAAAGTTTTAAAAGTAAAAAAAAAAACAAAAAAAACACAAAACTTTAAAACAGAAAAAAAACTCATAGAATAGGGATATAAAGAAACTATTTTATACAGCTGCACAATGTGTTTGTGTTTTAAACTCTTATTGCAAAGAGTCAAAAAGTTAAAATTAAAATGTTTATAAAGTAAAAAAGTTACAGTAAGCTAAGATTTATTATTGAAGAAAGAAAATGTTTTAATAAATTAAGAGCAGCCTAAGTGTACAGCGTTTATAAAGTCCGCAGTAGCGGCCACTAGTGTCCCCAGGCTTCACACGCACTCGCCGCCACCGACTGACTCGCCCAGGGGGTGGACGCAGACACCTGCCGTGAGTTACCGGGGCCTGCGGGGTCCAGCCCAGTCACGCTGTGCGGCTCTGCAGCCCAGGGCAGCAGTGTAGCGGGCTACGCCATCCGGGTTTGGGTAGGTGCGCCCCGCGACCTTTGCACAACGAAGCCGTCTAAAGACACATTTCTATCATTAAGCGACACGTGACTATTCTAACTGCCTTCTGGACATTTTCTGAGATTTCCCACTAACGTTGTATAATCAGTAAGTCTGAAAACAAGTTCTACTCTTTTCCTTCCAAGCCAGCTCCGCCCCCGATGTTCCATGTTTATCAAGGGCAATCAGCTCTTCCAATGCATCCTGCTTTTCTCTTTGCTTGCATTTTTACTGTTTTTCTCCCTGAGGCCCGAATTACTGCTCAGCTGGAAACACTGTAAGGGCCTCCTCATTGGTGCCCTGTGTCATCCTCATCCTTTGTAGTGATGTGACCAAACTTCTTTCTGTGCCACTTTGATGCCACCAGGGCCCAGCAGCACTTTCAGTGGCTTCCTGTTGCCTGTCACCCCCTGGCATCCAGGACACCCCACTCTCCCATCTCAGGCCCCCGTCTGTTTCAACGTAAGCCCAAGTCAAACCAGGCTATCCCGCGTCAGCCACACATGTGCCCCTGTGGTCCTGCCCTGACGGTGTCCTTAGGCCAGGTGAGCCCATCCACACAGCAGTCGGGACACCTCACAAGAGGGTGTCCTGTCCTGGGGTCTCGGCCTCATTCGTGGCAGCAGTTCTGAATGGTTCCCGCCCCTGCCAGTTGAGCCCAGGTGACGCCCAGGACTCTTTCAGACGACATCTTGAACTTGTTCTCCCTTTCCCTAGACGTCTAGCTGCCCTGGGTATCTCACCCCCGCGGACCTCTAAGCCTGGGGACCCTGCCGTGGGCTGGCTTCCCTGATCCTTCCCCGGCCCCGTGGCCGTTTCCTTTCCTGACTGCTCTTCAGTGCATTGGCCATCGCCACGTTCTGTCTCTAGTTACAGGTAATCGTGCACTTCTCTTGTCTCATCTCATGAATGAGATGACATCTCATTCATCTCTGCTCTCCCAACCCCTAAAACAGTGCCTAACTCTCATTAGGCCATCAGCAAATATCTTTGAACAAATGAATAAATATTTTTATTGCATCTTTCCCCAAACACTGTTCCTTGGAGCACAAGTGGCCTCATAAGATATTAATTGGTATTCCATGATCAACTGAGTGTTTGGCACACAGATTTCCTCATGGAGAACCATAACGCTCTTATGCCCATAAAGGCTCTGATAAGTCCTGCAGTGAAGAAACCTGTTTGGTGTTGATTCGCTTGGCAGTTTAGCAAGTATATTTGATCACAGGACTTTTTTTTTAATGAGCTTCCCAGTTAAGGAAATAATGGTTTAAAATCCTCTGGGGGGGGGGGAATCCTCTCGGAATCTTAGAAGACCTGGACAGAAGGTAAATCATAGGGGTTAATCAGTCCAGCTTGTTGCAGCGCACAAGATCAGATGCCCTTTTGCTGTGACACGCATCACCACTTGATTGCTAATGTTTGCTCTTTCCTTTCCTTTTTTTCGTTGCCTAGTGGAAGAGGATGCTTTCTACTTTCTGTTTGCCTTTGGGCACAGACACGAGAGGGTGGCGGTGGAGGGCAGGGACATTTCTGTGAAGAGGACTCACCCCCGTTGCTTTCTGCTTAGTGTAGGCGTATTTGTCCCGAGTCAGTCTCTCAAAACGGTAGGTCGGTGCAAACGTGATTTCTTCCTCCTCTGAAACACAGACACTTTGGTTTCAATTTTGATTCCCCAAGTTTCGCATCTGGTCACCTTTCCCCCCTCTCCAGGCATAATCCGCCCCCCGTAAGGATACTGGGGGAAGGGGAGATGGTCCAGGAGCCGGGCCTGGCGTTCTTACCAAAGTGCAGGAAAACCTTCTGCTCCTTCCTCTCTGTGAGCAGCTGGTCGTGGGACAGGAGATCCGCGTACTGCTGCTGCTTGATCTTCTGGATGATGGTTTCTGCCTCCTGGAACAAGGACATGCCCCGGCTGCGGGTGAGACACCCCTTCCCTTCCCTTCCCATCTGGCCCACTGAGGGGCCATGGCCAGGAGCTGGGTGACCCAGGTGGCAGAGCGATGGGAGAAGGGGTGGCCGTGACAGTCACGTGGGAGCTGGGTGAGAGCAGGGGGAACCGAAAGGAGAGGCCGAGGCTCCGTAGCAGGAACGGCAGTGTGTCCCCAAGGAAGTCGCTGTCTCCCAGCTCAGTCCTTGTGTCTCCACAACTGTCTGCCTGCAGCTGACTCAAGGACGCGTCCTGTGCAGCCCCAGCCCCAGCCCCAGGGGCGTTTCCTTACCCAGGTGGGCAGATCCACGCGGTAGTTGAGATCTCCCAGCCAGAAGAGGTGAGTGAAGCGGTGAGTGATGTTGAAGGGACTCAGTTTCTTGTCTCCCAGGGCCAGGAACCGGAGAATGTTCATATAGTTTTGGTTTCGCCTAATGCAAGGTAAAAAGCGGCCACCTAGTACGGGGTCACTGGTGCCGCACTGTGCTATGGGGCTCAGCTGCTCAGCAGGGAATCGGAATAGTGAATATTCTGGTAGGCAGCTGCCTTCATGAATCGACAGGCAGGACAGGCTTTGCTCTGTCAAGATGCCCCACGCGGTCTTCCCTTCAGTAATGGAGTGGTGTTGGGGGACATCAGGTTAACGACACAAGGACATATCTTTCCTAACCTTCAGACAAAATTCATCCACACGCGAGGTCACTATTGTGCTGCAGTTGCCTTTAGTGAGACCATGAAAAGCCCTGAAAGGCTGCGGGACCCCCAAAAGGTCCCAGGCGGGGGCTCCGGTGTTGAGGGGTGTGAGGTCGGTGGCAAACCCAGCTCTCGCCCCTGGGGAAGGGCTTCGTTACCTGAGTTTCTTTTCACTTCCTGAAGTCAAGTGGCTGTTCACAAACCCCAAGGAGGTTCCGTTGAACATGAAGGACACCCCCACAGCTCCTTTGTTCCCTAAAGGGAGGGGGAGAAAGAAGAATCAAAATATCAAACAGGTGGGGGGAGGGGGAGCAAGGGCAACATCCGTAACCTAAACATCTGTACCCCCATAATATGCTGAAATAAAAAAAAAAAAAATCAAACAGGCAAACCCGCGAGGGGTAGGAAGTCAAGGTAAGGCCAGAGTCAGAGGCAGGTGAGAGGCTCAGGGGGACAGGAAGACCACGATGCTGCTGTAACCCACTCCTGATGTCTCTCTCTAAAGTGACCAGTGCACCAAGCAGCCAGGGACAATTGATGGAAGCAGCCAGAAGCTTCCAGAATAAGATTCAGAAGGAGGTGACTGGGCTGGCAGCCTGACCTCCCTCCCAGTTCACTCAAGGCTCTAGGTGAGACCCAAACCTGCACTGAGATCACACCTTTTCAGCCTACGTTCCGATCTATTTTAGACTAGCGGTTCTCAAAGCGTGTTCCCCAGAGCAGCACCGGGGAACTTGCGGGGAGGCAAATTCTCAGGAACCCCCCACCAAGGCCTACTGAATCAGAAATTATGGGGTGCACCCAGTAATCTGTGTTTCACAAACCCTCCAGGCCATGAGTAGGAAAACACTAGCCCACTGCCAGCTAAACATGGCTTTTATATTTTTAAATGATTGGGGAAAGAAATCAAAAGAAAAATCTTTTGTGACATATTAAAATATGAAATTCAAATTTCAGTGCTCATAAAGAGCATTTGATGGGAACACAGCCCTGCCATTCACCAGGTATTGTCTGTCGCTGCTTTTAGGCTACAGAACAGAGCTGAGCAGTCGCCACAGAGACCGCATGGCCCACAGAGCCTCAAGTGTCACCTTCTGGCCTTTTCCAGAAAGTTTGCCAACCGCTTTGGGAAGCTGCTCTGCCCAGTACAGCAGCCACGAGCCACATGTAGCACTTGAAACACAGCCGGTACGAAATGAGGTGGGCTTAAGCATAAAACAAATGTCGGAATAGCGGCCTTGGTGAGAAAGGCAGGATGTGAAACATCTAATAACAGTACGTTGAATACCTAGTGAAATGATAGCATTTTGGATGTACGAGGTTCAATAAAGTGTATTACTACAATGACCTTCACTTGTTTCCTTTTATTTTTAATGTGGCTACTGGAAAACTGAAAAAGATCTATTTAGCTCCCATTTTATTTCAGCCGGACGGCTCTGGGTAGACGGTAAGCCGCAGGGACTGCGGAGGTCATCCGGCACGGCCAGCTCACGTCTCAGAGGGGGACCTGCAGCCTGGCCGACGCCAGTGGGAGGCAGAGGCAGGCAGGGCACGAGGCTTCCTGCCCTCCGGCCCCACTCCTGGAGGCCTCTCCTTCCCTCCCCGCGGGGCAGCCCGGGGGTGAACTGTTGGCTCTGAGGTCCACCTGGGTTTCAGTCCCTGTCCTCCACTTTCTTATCACTGGTTGTTGGGCAAGTTATGGAACTTCCCCGTAGCCTCAGTTTCTTCCTCTGTGAATGGGGAGAACAGTCCCTGCCCCCCCCCCTCGAGTGTGTATGTTCAATGAGGTTGTGCTCACAAAGCATTTAGCACCCAGCCTTACACACGGTGCGCTCTCAAAAAGGCCTGAGCCGTTCTCCGGGGCCTGTGCTAATGCTGGGAGCCATTTCCGGGTAGTGGAGAAGGTAGGCTGGCCCCAGGGGACAGGGGAGGGGAAGGGGGACAATGGCTGTAAAGCTCAGGCTCTGCCCAGGCCTCCTCCTCACCTGTCAGACTTCGGTCTCTGGGCCCTGCTCAGAGAGGCCCCCCAGCGCCCATCTCTGGTAGTGCCGGCGCCCGCGGCCGCGCCCCTCGCCCCTTTGCCGGCACAGCCGCTTTCCCAGTGTGCGCTGGCGCACGCGCAAGCTTCAGGCTGTGACCATGGTGCCAAGGCAGTAGCCAGAGGCCAGGCCTGGCCCGGGGAGGGGCGGGGGTGGTTTTCTGTTGCAACAAGAGACTCCCGCGAGGTGGGGGGCGAGGTGGGGGCCGGGGCCGGCAGGCGAGGCTGGAAGCCAGGAGAGGCGGGCCCAGGCCACAGAAGGGCGTGGGCACAGCCCAGGGCAGCCGCGCCAGCCCCACCTGCCACTGTGGCAGGAAGGAAGGGGGACGGATGGGTGGGGGTGGACGTGGGCAGTTTGTGGTTTGTCAGCAGAAAAGCTGAGAGCTTTTCCCATTCGATTGCAGCAGTTCTGTTTCCTGTTACCCCTGGGACCCTGTGCTGTCCCCAACTCCAACCACCAGAAACCGCTGGCCTCGCCCTCGACGACCCCAGAGGCCCCGAGTGTGCGCAGGACCCACACGCACCAACACACGGGCACGAGGACCCACGCATGCCTCCACTCACATACACACTGATGTAAACACACGGTCCGTGAGTCCATGGACTCACACACGAAGACTTGCATACGCAGGCTCGCCCCCACACACTCACACGCAGACGCACGTAAGCACGAACACGCACACACAGACTCGCACACTGACGAGCACACACGCATGGATATAGGGCACGCCCACACAGACTCACGCCCCACCACCACGAGGCCCTCCTGCTCTTATTTAGGTTCTCCGACGCACCCCAATTGGTCCCCACTGACTTTCGACTGATGTTTCCAGATCCACCCTGGGTAGTGAGGACCTGGGTCGGGGCCGGCCACCCCCAGCCTGTGTTTGCACGTAAGGTCTTACTGGGACACAGCCACTCCGTTCACTTTTCGTGGTGGCCGTGGCTGCTATCACGCTACAAAGGCAGAGACGAGCGCTTGTATATGGGCCGCGAAGCCTAAATTGTTTAGTATCTGGCCCTTTCCTGCAAAAGTCTGTCAACCCTGTGGTAGGTTCTTGCTACTCAAAGTGGGGTCCGGGGACTGACCAGCAGCACTGACACCACCTGGGAGCTTGTCAGAAACCTGGACTCTCGGGCTCTCCCTGAGACTGACTGAGTCGAGCCTGTGGTTTAGCCAGAGCCCCACAAGTGCTGGTGTGGACCCCGAGTGCGTTTCAGCTAGGGGCACCCATCATCCCGTTTGCCCAGGACCCTGTTCTTAATCCAGGAAGCCCAGGAGGGCCCGAATGACGCGGACGTGGGAGCCGAGGCAGAGCGTGCTGGAGGACCCCTCCCTGCTCACCCAGCGTGTTTGCGATGCCCGTCTTCACGGTGTCCGTGCAGATGTGGCTGATGCGGTTCTCGTGCTCTGGCTTGGCCAGCACCACCATGCGGATGTTCCAGAGCGTGTGGATGGCCACCTGGTGGGGAGGGACAATGTCGTGACCCTCGGCCAAGGTGTAGGGCTTGGACCCAGAGCATGGCGATTCACACTCGCCCCAGCCCCGCGTATGGGGTACCCCGTCTGCGATCCCTAACCTCGGGGGCACTCCTAATGATGCCTGACTGATGCGACAAAGCATCTTAAAGATGACAATGGGGCTGACTGAGAGCGGGGAAGACAGCGGACCCAGCGGTTTTCAGCAACACTCCACGGACCCCATCAATTTCTGAATACAGATGCGTCTGTCTGGCCCTGGAAGTGGGGGGCCCACTGAGCGCCCAGACATCTTTGAAGTGGAGAGGTGATAGGCTGAGGCTGCCCTCGCTTCTGAGACTCTCCCCCTGAGCAAAGCCCCCGTCCCGGAGCCCCACCCGGGGTGCGGCCAGCTGCTCACTGTTTTAAAAGTCACACTGGTGATTTCTTGCAGGGACTGTCTGAGGATCTCCAGCCACTCCTTCTCACCCAGGGGGTCCTCCTGGGTGCCGATCACGTAAATGTCGTGGGGAATGTAGTCGGCAGAGTCGTCCCGCGTCTTTCCCTGCCCCTTGGAGAGAAACCAGGACGTGATCTTCTTGGGAGGGGGGGCGTTACCTTCAACAGCAAAACCCAACACCAAGTGAGTCAAAGGCACATCCAGTCGACAGCATCAGAATTCAAAACAGAGAGTAGGGGACGTGTGGGGGGAGGTCACACGATCACGCAAGGGCATCCAGGCAGCCAACCAATGCGAGATGGAGACCCGAGTGCCCAGGATGTCAGCGAGGGGTGGAACTCAGTTAAGCCTCCTTTTACAGATAATGTTAAGTTTCAAATAGAAACACTGGAAGATTCCCTGATGCCATACACTGTCCTACGCTTTGGGGCTGCCATGGCAATTGAGACACAGTTTTGTCCCTCAGGGAACTTCCATTCTATTTCAGAGACAGCCAAGTAAACTGACAAGTTTAGGATAGCAGCGTCTACCTCATTGTTAGGAGACAACAAAAGCTCCCTTGCAAGGGTCAGAGCCCGGCCCAGAGCTAAGATGCACAGTGGTAGCTAGAGAAACGGGAAGAACGTGGAAGCCCCCCAGCCCCATTACGAACTGAACTGGAACAGCTTAATCAAGGAACAATGAAAGATCTGCTTCTCCCACAATGCCCTTAAATGATGAGCAAACTTTTTCCCCCAAAAGAGATAAGCTTCTCAGCCCACAAGTGCCAAGAAGCCAGGAGTTGGAGTAACTTGACCTCGGCTGAATTCTGCCTCCTCCAGTGGCTCCCAGTAAGCACACAAGCCCAGGGGGCTGGCCTGTCACTGCTTTGCAGACCCTCCAAAGGGTCTCCTGCTGTCCTTGTGCAACAGGGACCAGCCAGCTCCTTCCACATGCCTTCCATGCGAAGGCCCCCTCACCCCCACCACTGTGCAAAAGACGGCCCTGACCATGTCCGCAGCAGAGGAAATCAGGCAGCCAGTAGGAGACACCAGGCTCCTAGGGCACTGGCCAGGGCTCTCCTTCAGTGCTGCTTGGCCCCTGGGACATCTGGGCTTGCACCGGCAAGGCCGGGAGGTGTGAAGGCACAGGGAGGGCTGACGCCATGCAGAACCGGCTCAGGAGACCAGCAGAAGCCGCTGGGACCCGGAGCCTCCTGCCTTCCCTCCTGAAGCCCCGGCCCGTCCTCCACCAAGCAGGCGGGACACAAGTCCCATGCTGCCGACTCATTTCCAGAGGGTCCCTGCCCCTCCAGGAAGGGCTGCTGCTCTCCCCTCCTCCCAACGCTGCTGGGGTGGGCCTGATTCTGCTCGGGACAAAGGGGAGGGGACACAGGGCACCCAGCTATATTAAAATTTCAGATAAATGGGGAGTTTTTAGAATAAATATGCCCCATGCAATAGCTGTTTATCTGAAATTCAGATTTAACTGGATTTCTACCTAATAATTTATTTCTAGCTGAATACTTAAACTAAAAAATTACTTAGGATCATTTATACTTAGTGTAATATGTATATTTAGCATGTAAATATATATT